TAGATTAATGATGAATTGAAATGGGGTTTAACGTCCTACTGTTCTGCTTCGACTGGGCTAATGAAGACAGGCATACGCCATACAGTGTGTACACGGGACCTCGGTTTTTATACCATCCAAAAGACTATGCTTCGTCCTTTGCCAGACCCCCCCCCCCCCGTCCTGCACCACTGGCAAGGGGGAACCACGCCGAAAAATATCGATAAACATTCTAGGTCAACGTATTTCAACTGCCAGTGGTCTTTTTACGTGCACGTCAATGTGTACATTGAATTTCGGTTTTTTTGTATCCCATCCAAACGACTATACGCTGTCCCTTGCTAGGCCCTCCGTCCTGCACCATTGACAAGGGGGGGGGGGGGGCACGCCGGAAAATATCGATGAACTTTTTAGGCCAACGCAGGGATCGAACACAGAACCTTAAGGTTGGCGAGTCAACGTCTTACTCATTGAGTCACCGTGGCTCCTCTGCGTGACTCCGCACTAGATTAAAACAATCCAAGAGCTGATAACGAAATATTTGTTTTAAATTTTAATTCGAACGGCGAGGGCTCCTCGAATAAAGGGAGTCTTTGTTTTAAGAAGTCCCTCATTGATAGAAAATCACAAAAAATACAGCGAGAATAGAATTAAATGAAAGAATTATCACAAAATTTTGTTTCGAGTCGTTTCACAGGGTCATTGATTCCACCATTACGATAATTATTAGGTCCACGAAAAACAATTACAGTTCGCTACTGGGTTTCACAAAGACAGATGGGTTGACTATGGCGGATGTCCTTGATGTTGGTCGTCTGCGTTCATTGTCATGTCACTGTTTTATTGTTCGCCTGTCTTTCATTCACAGGACATCTTGATGCCTGGTCTTTTGTTGTGTTTGTGAACCAAGGGGTCTTAGTTAATGCGTTGTGCTCAATGTTTGCGTTTAATACATCGATCGAGAGTCATCTTGAATATAAATAAAGACGGATTACTTGCTATAACCAAGGAGTGAAACGCCAATTAATTAAATCGATTCCAACATAGGAAGATGAGGACGAACAACACAATTAATTGGAGCAAATTATTTAAAATATTGACCTTCTTTCATACTACATATATACAGTATACTTTCTATTTATTAAGCTTCTTCGGGCAAACTTTAACAATTCCAACCAATTACTCGCAAACCTAGTTTTCTTTCCTAAAACAATTTTATTTCTAATATTTAACACCTAAGAGTAGCTTTAACTATGACCTTTTTATATCAACTAAATTAAAGAAAGACACCAAAATACTAATTTAACGACTAGCGCTTTCAGTTCGTACTGAATATCTTCAGGCCATTTTTATTTATGTACCCAAAATGAATTGAAGTAAGTCATATGACACGGCAGTAACAACAGTAAGTAAGTAAATAAAATAAAACCGCCCACTATAATTATTTACATGTATATAAATGTAGCTACGTGTATCGGTTTAAAAATGAAATGTAATGAATGGGGTTTAACGTCCTAGTTTACAGTGGGTAGAGAAATGACCAAAATAATGTTATCAACAATTAGTCCTAACAACATGAATTATAATACGCATTTCGATGTCGTTTGCTGTCTCCGGATTTGGGGGTAGCGGCGAAACCTTACAAAAACAATTCTCAAAAATAATGCGATGTCGATGTCCCGTTTTTTTTTTGTTGTTTTTTTATTGGGGGGGGGGGGGCTCGCAACCTAACACGAGAGAGAGAGAGAGAGAGAGGGAGGGAGAGAGAAAGAGAGAGAGAGAGAGGGGGGGGGGGGGGTAACGTTCACTCGACACAAACCAGGTCATTGCACGTATGGGTCTTTAGCAGTGGGAGGACCCGGAGAAAATCCAAGAGGTTGGCAAAAACATGGGAAAAGAACAAAAGGATCTCACTAATAATAATAATACAAAAGTACATTTTTGAAAACATCATCACATGAACAGGGTGAACTTTTATACTTTAAAAACAAAAATGTTAAAATATCCAAATAACCGGAAACACATTCCGACATTAGTATACATGCTGGAGGGAAACGTGGTTCATTAACCAGATGAAATCGATATATGGACATTGTCATTATCAAGTCAATTATTTTTTTTCTATAAGCAATATTTTTATTCAGATTTGTATCTGAATAGGGATTGGGGAACAGGCATAGCTATTAAACCCCTCTCCCTAATTCACCACTTATAGATGGACAGTAAAGATTTTTATTGTTGTGCACGGGAACAGTAATTCTAACGATGACAGGAACTTGGAATATGGGCCCTAAAGAAGTGGACGGGTCATTTGTTCTGTCTCTTATGGACTGTGCTAAAGTATTTTTGTTGGTGGAGACTCTGAGTTAGATGTAGATTCTTAATTCTGCACGGATATTCTTGCTGTTGGTGACATTTAACTTGCAGACAACTATCCGTTTATATTGATTTATAAAAATACGACAGTTTGCTCGTTCACGTACACCGATCTACTGGATTAGATTCCGTAGTATACGTCACTCGATATTGTGCACACGATCTGCATGCCACAGTATCCTAACAATGGAGAACTAAAAATGATAAATGTTTTTATTGATCAATAAGGTTAGGATTAAGGGTAGCAAAGTTTATAGACATCACAAACCCAGTCGTGCAATTAAAACAATGTTGTAAAAAACGTCACGGGCACTTGCACTTGTGACGATCATTGGTCGATTAGCTATATATAACGTCACATATCTGTTCTTGGAAATGCTTAAAAATGAAATTGACGTCTTATTTGTCACATCTACTGAAATTTTTAAATGTGTCCTGCAATTTGTCAATTGTAAATGATAAACTAATTAAGACCCGAGACTTACATGTATGTAGGTATATTTTTAAATGTGTCCTGCAATTTGTCAATTGTAAATGATAAACTAATTAAGACCCGGGACTTACATATATGTAGGTATATTTTTGATTTGACACGAATCGTGATATAAACAAATACAGTTTAAGGTTACAACTGATACATGGCCCTAAATTCTACCGAAATATCCCGTCTTCATTAGCCCAGCCAGAACATAACGACGAGTAGCAGGGCGTTAAACATACCATTTCGTTTTATATACCAAAATCTTAACGGCATAATGAAAGTATCACAGAGTAAAAATACACTACTCTGTGAAAGTATCATAAGTGTTTTTTATAATTAGCCTGAAGTGTACAAAAACATTCGTACGGTCCTCATACCAGAATGGGCCTTACTACCAGTATAAAAGATCCCGTAACCAATACGGATTTTAAAAAAAAAAACATGGGACAAATCCTACACACAACTTAAAAATATTATTTACGATTGATTAATCCATTGGTTAAACTGAACAAACTTTACACTCTACCGTCTTATCCCTCATTTTAAAATATTGTTTTGTTTGACAACCACCGTAAAACATTTTTATTAACTAGCCATGATATTATTCGTAAAATACGTGACAAAGTCCACGTAAATGTCTTAACCTCTCATGATGGCTGATAACCGCACAGGAAAACAAATTCATTGCATAGAGAAGGGAATTTCAACCAGTTTAAGGTTTTACGAGTTAATGAAATCACCTTAGAGGTGATTTTATTTTTAAAATTTGATTACATCACAAATGTTCCGCCCCGTGTCATGACCGCTGATAACCGCACTGGAAAAAGAAATTCGTTGCATAGAGAAGGGAATTTCAACTTGTTTACGGTTTTAGGAGTTAATGAGCTCGCCGTGGAGGTGATTTTATTTTTAAAATTTGATTACATCACAAATATTCCGCCCCCCCCCCCCCCCCCAAAAAAAAATGGAACATCTAATTAAAATAATGTGAAACATGAAGAAGTCTCGAAAATTTTATTATCCCAATGAAAAAGTATTTTTTTCGTCCTTTTTGTTTGGGGGAAAAATTTCCTTTTTGTATAAGCTATCTCATATTATGGAGAATCACCCACAGCTTATTTTTTTTTTTTTAAAAAAAGGAAGAAAAAAAAAAGTTTTGAGATCAATATCAATTATACTTAGAAAGCTGAAAACAAACATTTCCTAGCTTACAATTTCTTGCCCTTTCCTTTTTTCCCCCCAATTTCGGATAAGTGTTTGGTCGGAGATCATAACCCATAGCAATCTGAAAACCCAGTCTATGCAGTAAAGAAAAACACAATTAAACATGAACTATTGCTTTAAAGAACAACTTTTACAGTCAGAAACCTTCATCCATAACACACATAAAACAAACCGTACATAGAATTACGACTGATTGCCGAAATATTTGATAATACGCGAAAACATTCGACAAAATACCGCCAAATACGTTTTCTATAGGGTTATAGAATGCAACCGATTTTAGATGTGAAAATTCTTAAATGACCCGTAAGCTTGCTATTTTTATGCACAGAAAGCTTCTACTAAAATTAATATAACTAACGGTTCAAGAAAATACGTAAGATGTTGTGTAATTAATGAGTTACGGCGCGAAAAAGTTACGTTTTGTGAGACAATTGTATTCTTATCAGCCATACTACAAAATTCACGTGAAAACACGGGCCGTAAATTGTCTGTAAACAATAAAATAGGGCATGTATTCCGGATTTTTTACTTGTAAAAGTTGTGAGAGGACATATTCCAACTTTTACAATGTTTATATTGGTGTTTTGTTGTGTTTTAGAGGTTTTTGGACAAAATTTTCTTTTGCAATTCACTTTCGAGACATCTGCCATAGACCACAAAATGGCTGCTTGCACTCGCATGCTATCGCTATTCGTTGTAAAATGTCAATAACTTATAGAAAATCCCCAAACCTACCAATCTTCGACCGCTATCGGTGGAATCACCCATCTTGCTAGGTGCTTTCAAGTTCTTTTTCACATTAAATTTCCAAATTGTATGAGTTTCGATAAAAATATTTTCCTAAGCGATGAGAACTTTTGTGTACAAAAATCGTGACGTCACGGTCAATCAGGTTTGTCACGTGATCATAATTACACACATGCGCCGTGAATAAACACATAAAAGTCGGTCGTGTTTTTCCGTTCTGATGTTTACGTGTCTTCACGAAGAGTTTTAGCCTACTCAGGCTACTGATATAGTTTACATACACACACAACGCAGGTCTAGCCCATCATAAGTAGATTATCTATATATAACCATCATTCTCCATGCAAGAGCCCTCAAACACATACGAATCGTGGCTGCTCAAGTCGTACATCGACCAAATGTCCGATCAACATTCAAGCCAGGCTCTTTCCTGGCGCAGACTTTATTTGAGTCGTGCGAAGTTAAAAGCATCAAGCAGGACATCTGCTTTACTTTCCGGCTTTGCAATGGTAAGTTCTAAAGCGTAAATTGATCTAGGATTAGTTGTTTTATAAAAATAAAACAGTTAGAAAACGATTTAGGCTACAGCGGAAGTGTCACAATCGACAGCTAGCGGTACTATAATTCAATGCTCCGCTGAACAGTGTTTCTTTGATATGTCACCTACTCTGTCACTTAACATTTCGCAAATCAAATGACAGTTGTTGTGTTGTGTTACAAATATAGGTCCCCACTTACTCAGTGTGAATTTTAAATATATAATAAGCTGATACTGATGTAGGGAGCCTACTTTAGGTTTAAACTATCTTCAAGGTTGAAACTTAAATTAAACATACATTATGCAAGAGCTAAATCTGCCTATTTCAGGTCTTTCTTTAGGCCTCAAATGTTATCTTAATTATTAATTAGACATTAATTAACTTCTCCAGACCATAATTAACTCTCGATGTCAATGCTAGCCGACGATAGTTACTGGATTAGGATTCGATTTGCTGCTCAACCTTCATTCATAATTTAATCATGAAATGGATAATCGAGACTTATGTTTTTTATCGTACGGTACCGACTTTAGTAATAGTAATAGTAATGATGATCGAGGCTAGGCCGAAACTTCAATTGCAAAATTCTTGGTTCGGAATGGATCAATTTGACTGAAATTTTCAGAAAATTGCCTTTACATTATTTAGTTACATTATCATCTGCAAATTATTTTTTCCATTTAAATTATTTAGTTTATTGGTAATGAATTGAAAGCTGTTTCAAATGTTTCCATCTTGAACAACTTTGTCGGACTCGTCGTGGCTAATGCACAGCAGCTTGAGGACCCGGAGAAAACCCACGAGGTTGGACAGGCGACCCTACTCCTTGTCACGTACAACAGGGGAATCGAAACCACACCGGTTGACTCAATGGTACAGCGCGCACATGCTAACCATTCAGCAACCCAACCCCCCTCCTGAGATTATCACCAAGTAGCCTGTAGTAATGACAGTCACTCTGATTGATTGATTGCTTGATCACATACAATATTTGATTGATTAAGCTTACTGATCGAAACTTGTTTTCTATTCATACATGTACATGTAGGTAGGGGATAACAAGACTAGAAAAAAGCGCTTGACATTTTCAAGCAATATCAGACATAATCCGTCTGGTGTCGCATCGTGCCTGGCACTGATCTGACTTTTTTTTTAGTGTTTTTGATAATATTTATAATCCGACATTGTCTGGCGCATCTGGCGCAAAGTTAAAAATATCGGGTGCCGACCAGTAGTAGTTTATTAGTGCCAGCGGGTTGGATGGCCGAATGGTTAACGCGTGCCCACCGCATCATAAGGTCGGTCATTGAGTCAACTGGCGGGGTTTCGATTCCCGGTTGTACATGCATGACAAGGCGTAGGGTCGCCTGTCCAACCTCATGGGTTTTCTCCCAGTCCTCCAGTTTCCTCCCACTGCTAAAGTCCATTGCGCTGAAACGAATAATTGAAATAAAATTGAATAATATGTTAGTCCGGAAATGGCCTAGTCTGTGTCCAGTGGACGTTAACTCTCTCTCTCTCTCTCTCTCTCTCTCTCTCTTATAAGTGCCCAACATTTTGTCAGTACAGCTATCAAGTCATTATCTCCATCTTAATGAACATTTCCTATCATAAGACCTTATATTAGCTGTTATTCCTACCATATTATAAGACAGGTTATTATAGGAAATGTAGATCCTAAGCTTATAAACCATGTAATATATTAATTTACTATAGGCTATTAGTAGGCTACAGATTACTATAGACTATTAGTACAGATGATGTCGTCTAAAACCTTTATATGAACATGAAGCTATAGAAGATTATGGCAGGATTATAAGATTTTACAGTGTTGCTAAATAAGGGAGAAAAAAGTATCATGTACTATACAAAACCTAGTTAAACCTTTTGATATGAGAAGGGGATCCGTCCGGACAGGAAATGAAATGGGGTTTAATTTAATGTCCTATTTTTATGCACTGAATGGGCTAATTAAGATGGGTATACGCCATACAACATGTTATAACAGAAATTTTGCCTGGATAGCGCCACTATTACCTATTCTTATTTTAATTTCTAACATCTGTCAAGTGAGCTTGAACTAGCTTCCATTGGTATACTAGACGCTGTTCCTTGCAGAGCCTCGTACTAAACCATTGACAAATAAAAACCATGCTTGAAAATCTTATAGAACTTTCACGTCCATGTCTGAAATGGGGTTTAACATCCTACTGTTCTGCTCCGACTGAGCTAATGAAGACGGGCATACACCATACAGAGTGCTATGGGGGAAATTTTGCCTGGACAGCGGCATTATGGCCTACTCCAGTGGTTCTCAACCTTTTTTTGCCAACGGCACACCTCAGAACACATAAAAAAAAATAGCGGCTCACCTGGCTAAATATATATGAAAAATGTTTGAATTTTACAAAATAAAACATGGCAAGTCATAGACGGTATACAACCGTAGACACTACTAGACACAGACTATAGAAACATCGAATGACTCGAACTAAATAAAGAAAAACACAGCTAGGAACTTAATTTATTGCATTGTTTCTTTAGTGAGAAATTTTCTTAGTGTGCCGTTCAAAATTTCGTGGCACACTTAGGAAGATCTCGCGACACACCTGTGTGCCGCGGCACACTGGTTTAGAATCACTGGCCTACTCTTATATCGAATTTCAACTGCCTAGGGATCTCTTACTTTCAAGCCAATGTGTACACGGGACCTCGGTTTTCCGTTCCATTCAAATGACTAGACAGCTGTCCTTGTCAGACCCTCCGTTCTGCAACACTGACAAGGGGAAACCACTCCGGAAAAACCTGATGAATTTTCTCGGCCAACACCGGGATGAAACCCAAGACCACCTTGTTATTGATCAAACCACTTGTAACATATATCTATCTATATACTAATATTTGTCTGTCTGTTTGTCTATCTGTTTGGGGTTGGCGGCTACACTAGGTCTGCCCCGAGTCTGAAATTTGGGGTATAGGGGTAGCTAGGACTGGTGATTAACATAGGCCAGGTGGCGTTAGTCTACCACTTCCGGTTTCGGAGGTATGACCCCCGAGCGAAGCCGGTCTGTTCGGGGTTGGCGGCTACACTAGGTCTGCCCCGAGTCTGAAATTCGGGGTATAGGGGTAGCTCGGACCGGGGAGTAACACAGGCCAGGTGGCGTTAGTCTACCACTTCTGGTTTCGGGGTTATGACCCCCGAGCGAAGCCGGGCATTCTTCTAGTTATACATATATTTTAAATTCATCAGTTAAATATTTTTAGATGACTATCATGTAAATATTATACATTATAATATAACTTGCTATGCCTGCTGTTACATATCACCATAGAAAGCCTACACACGTTCACAATTATTCATAAAATATTCGAAATGTTAATAAATAAACATGTGTTTACATGTAGTAGATTTATTGGCAGTACGAAGAGTCGAGAAGTTTGTCACTGCTTGGCTAAATTCTCCCACTTCAATACCACATACTCCCCCAGTTGTACTTGATGAGTAGGGTCACCTGTCCAACCTCGTGGGTTTTCTCCGGGTCCTCCGGTTTCCTCCCAGTACTAAAGACCCCTACGTGCAAGCAAATTATTGAAATAAAAAAATTAAACCACATGTTAGTCCTGAAAGACCTAGTTTTTGTCGAGTGGACGTTAAACCCCATTTCTCTGTCTCTCTTTCTCTCTCTCTCTCTCTCTTTCTCTCTCTCTCTCTCTTTCTCTCTCTCTCTTTACTCACCTAACACAACAGCTTTGTTAATCTTAATATGACCTACTGTAGTTTATGTTGAGTGGATGTTAGATCCCCCCCCCCCTTTCTTCTACTCAACAGAGCTATGGTGGTTCAGTGAGAAAGTTGGTGGATCGATAACCAGGAAAACTGTTGCACAGCAGCATTTTAATGTGGTTGTATATTGCTTTCACCCTGTCAAACTGTCATTCTAATATCTTGTTAGTACAATATGGACCAATCTGATTAAAACACAGATCCTATTTCTTTTTGGTTTTTTATAGTTCAAAAGTTTGTTTTACTTGTCTTTACTACACTAGGATCTGCAAGAGTTGTTATATAACCCGCGTTGTGGATGTAGGGGATTAGCCAAAGAAACGGTCTGTTACGGGAAGTTTTTGGCGTGAGGTGCACGGAACTGTGGGTAAACCACTAAAAAGAAACATCAATGCTGATTGTTTAATCAATTGTTTGATGTCATAGGCTCAAAAGCCGCTCATATGACCTCTGACACGGCCTTCAACTACAACCAGTCAGATCTTCTTGTGTAGTAGAGACCATCGAAAGTATAAAAAAACAAAACAAATTATAGATCTGTATTTTAATAAGATTGAATATCTTTTTGAAGTTGATAATTAGAAAGGAATGAGCCTATTCTCTCTTGTTTTAGGGGGGTTGGATGGCTTAGTGGTTAGCACGTGCGCGCTGTATCATTCAGTCTGTCATTGAGTCAACTGGCGTGGTTTCGAATCCCCGGTTGTATGTGACAAAGAGTAGGGTCGCCTGTCCAACCTCGTGGGTTTTCTCCGGGTCCTCCGGTTTCCTCCCACTGCTAAAGACCCCTACGCGCAAGCGAATTATGGAAATAAAATTGAACCATATGTTAGTCCCGAAATGACCTAGTTTGTGTCGAGTGGACGTTAAACCCCATTTCTCTCTCTCTCTCTTGTTTTATATTGGTCTAAAAATACACATTGTAGATCATCAAGCCTGGAAATAAGGCACCTGTCACAGATAATGTCAGGCACTAAACCTTTATTTCCAGGCCTGTAGATCAAAAATAGATGTCTATTAAATGTTTGTTTTTTCTTCTCTTTCAGGTTGCGATGGTGGAAGTTCAAATTGATCAACCCAATCAGCATATTCCAGATGCTCTTCTTGTCGTGTTTGGTGTCTGCACTACTTTATTAGTCACAGTACATCTTCTAGCGCTCATGATCAGCACGTGTATAGTTCCAAATATAGAAGCAGTCAGCAACGTACATAATATAACAGCCGTGAACGAATCTCCGCACGAAAAGATGAAATGGTGCGTAGAAGTGGCTTGGATTTGTTCAACAGGAATTGGAATCATTTTGTTTCTCGCAGAAATAGGAATTTTGTGTTGGGTGAAATTTTATAGTATCAGTCAAAATACAGCCATTGCGTCGACGTGTATCGTCATACCAGCCACCTTGTTATTTATCGCATTTGCCTTGGTATTTTATAAAAGACTGGTCGCTCACAAATACCAGCGACATGAAGAAGGATTAAAGGAGCTGGACAATCTGGTGACGGAATTAAATGTAAATAATGACGGACATATCCGAACTGTTTAAATTTTCATCTGGAGACGTTTTATCACTCTATTATAAATAGGTGATTTTTGTTATTGTATGATTCTTCAACTTCAACGACTGTTTTTTTGGTTAAAACTATTTGATGTTGTATTTTAACTTCAACTTTGTTATAGTCTTCAATCATTTTTTGAAGAATTGTGAATTCATTTTGTAAACAACAGGGGTTGGGTGGCCGAATGGTTAGCGTGTGGGGGGGGGGGATATGGTCAAATGGTTAATGGGGGGGGGGGGGCGGCCGAATAGTTAGCGTGTGTGGAGGGGATGGGGGGGATGGCCGAATGGTTAGCATGTGCTCGCTGTATCATAAGATCTGTCATTAAATCAACTGGCGTTGTTTCGATTCCCTAGTTGTACGTGACAAGGAGTAGGGTTAGTCCCGAAATGACCTAGTTTGTATCTCGAGTGGACGTTAAACCCCATTTCTCTCTCTCTATCTCTCTTGTGATAGTCGAATCTCTACATGAAATATCAGTCTCGATCCCTGAGATAACTTTACCCTCCGTTTATCTCTGGTAAAACTCGCTGGCCATTTATCAGCGTGAAATCGGTTCTTAAACTCCACCCCCAGTGGCGAGAGATTGGCAGGGTTTGTTACAATGAAATTCTGCCAATTTCTCGACAATTAAGCATTGATTTGTTGCATCAGTTACATATGAATGATCCTTGAAAGATTTTCCGCATCTTGACATCAAAAACAGCTGATTTGATGATTTACCGGGAACTATTTTTAGTGCACAATATGAGTGATTCGGCTAAATATGTAAAATTTCTAAAGAAACACAAGTTTGAGCTGTCATCTTGGATCTATGTGAAGGATACATCATGTGATATTCAAAATGGCCATCGAGTTTTACTAGAAATAACCAAAGGGGTGAACTTATTTCAGGGATTGATATTGCAATAATGGTTCAAATCCATTCAGTATTTACAAAGATAATTTAATACTAAGGAAGGACACCGTTAGTCCGTAACGTTTAGAATAAATTAGTTGATAATCTACCAGGAGTTCGTCTATCTTCTCTGGTTTAAAGGGGTTGCCTCTCTACCTATTTCAACTTCTTCCTGAACCCCTTGTGTATCGTTGAGATCCCAGTTTAGATGTCTTCCTACTACTAGTCTCCAGCTACTTTAGACCTACTTTACCAGAGTTGTCGTAGTCTTCTACCACTAATAAAAAATTCGCTGCAATCCACATCCTGAACAAGGGGGTTGGATGGCTGAATGGTTAGCACGTGCGCACTGCGCGCTGTATCATAAGGCCTGTCATTGAGTCAACTGGCGTGGTTTCGAATCCCCGGTCGTACGTGACAAGGAGTAGGGTCGCCTGTCCAACCTCGTGGGTTTCCTCCGGGTCCTCCGTTTTCCTCCCACTGCTAAAGACCCCTATGCGCAAGCGAATTATTGAAATAAAATTAAACCATATGTTAGTCCCGAAAAGACCTAGTTTGTGTCGAGTGGACGTTAAAACACATTTCTCTCTCTCTCTCTCTCCACATCCTGAACAAACGATATAAAAGAAGCCAGTGCCACCTATAAATGTTGCGTGAATATTTTCATCATGCCTGTTTTTAATCAGAATGAGTCGAGGCTCGGAGATTATTTACTGTATATTTATTTATTTTATTTGTTTTCTTTATAGAATGTTAGAATATATTTTTGCGTAGATTAGGCTGTGAAAGATTTAGATATTGTCCAAAAAATATGTAATATTTGTCAGCGACTTATTTAAGCATTTCCATACAAATAAAAAATTATAAACAAAACTGAATTAAAGGTCAAATTTTTTTAGAAATAATTATGTCAACATATCCTTTCCATATTTATGACACAAACCCGAATCTCAATGTTACCTGCTACAGGTAAATTTCAATGTTAGTAATTTCCGCCGTTCTCTGTGAGTACTTGTAGCGTTCCGTTAATAAACAATCTGTGACGTCATTTTAGTACTGCTCATATTCTAGTCTATATTTCTATGAACAGAAGGACGAAAATGACGTCACAGATTGTTTATTGACGGAAAGTTACGACGGAAATTACTAACGTTGAAATTTACCTGTGGCAGGTAATATAGACATTTGGGATCGTATTATACATATGGAAAGGATATGTTGACATAATTTCTTGCATTATTTAAAAAACTTATAAAGCTTTTCCGGTGACCTTTAAATGAGAATTTGAAAATGTTATTGGATATAATTGATTTGCTGTACTTTTAGTCCAGTCTGACAAGTTTGACTTGGCAAGAATTTGAAAATGCAAATTTTCTTAGAGGCTTTTCAATGCATTATTCATATGCATAACAGTGAATTTTCAAGTTCTTTCATGTTGATTAGTATAATGCATTAGTGAGATTTTTACGATTTTAATTTAATTTCAATGTTTACATGTCTTACATGTACCGGTATTTTATTCTTTTTTTTTTATTTAAAAATTGAATTTTCTGTTGCATATTTTGTAAATGCTGTGAGCACTTAGTAGTGCAAGTCGTGCACTATAAAAATTAAACTCATCATGAAAACCTTGCTTTATCTCTATTTAATTTAATTTGTTTTTTTTTTTTAATTTTTCTATGTTACATATAACTGTTTTTGTGTATACCGTATTGTCATCAACAATTGAACATACATTAGCAAGAGCTAAATCTGCCTATTGTGGGTCTTTCTTTAGGCCTGGAATGTTATATAAACTATTAATTTGACATTTATTAACATGATAAGACCTTAATCAACTCTCGATGCCATCTTATATGTCGGATTTTCACTGGATTTGAATCTGATTTGCTGCTCAACACTCATTGATGAATTAATCCAAAATTGGATAATTGAGACTATGTTTTTTAGGCCTAAAATTCAAACGCTGATATCTCAGTTCAGAGTGGAGCAATTTGACTGAAATTTTCAGCATATTCCCTTTACATTATCTAGTTTTTGATATAATATAGTGAGAACTTCATAATGGCCCTTTATTATAGATTTAAGGAATACAGACAGAATAAATTATTTTTTACACTCAACTTACTATTGAAATAATTGATTAAAGGGAGATAACAATGTTTGGAGGTATTTTTCTATATTGTTAACATCATTATTTAAACATGCATTATGCAAGAGCAAAATCTGCTTATTACAAGTCTTTCTTTAGGCCTGAAATGTTATCTAAATTATCAATCAGACATTAATTAACTTATCCAGACCATAATAAACTCTCGATGTCAAGGCTAGCCTTCGATGTTGGCTGGATTAGATTCCTATATGCCGCTAACGGCCATTGATAATTAAATCAAAAAAAGTGGATAATCGAGACTATGCTGTTTATATTAATGATTTTAGTAAGGATGATTGATACAATGCAAAAATTTCACCCGCTTCTTTCTCGGCTCAAAGTGGATCAATTTGACTGAAATTTCCAGTAAATTACCTTTACACTATCTAGTTTTTAACTATTATAGTGAGAACTGCCATCTCTTTATCTTATCTCCCATAATGTATCTTTAATACTCTTTGAATATATTATGATGTTTGTAAGACATTTAGTGATAGGAAAACACAATTTGATAGATAACAATCACTAGCAACTTTATTAGTGCAACGTTTCAATAAGTATTCTCTTAAACTTGTTATCCCTAAAAGGGGGTGTATAGCGGAATGGTTAGCATGTGCGAGCTGTATCATAAGGTCTGTCATGGAGTCAACTGGCGTGGTTTCAATTCCCCAGTTGTACGTGACGAGGAGTAGGTTCGCCTTCCAACCTCGTAGGTTTTCTCCAGGTCATCCAATTTTTTCCCACTGCTAAAAACCCCTACGTGCAAGCGTATTATTGAAATAAAATTGAACCATGTGTTCATCCTGAAATGACATAGTTTGTGTTAAGTAGCAAAGATACTAGTTAGTATTGAGAAGTTTCTCTCTCTCTCTATTTTTAAACTCCAAGCCTGTGATGAATTAATCAGATCTCAGAGTGATATGATAGAAAGATACCCTGTGTATAAAGATGCATGATGTAAATCTCTGCCTATTGTAAACATTTATTCACATGACAAGACTATCATCATCTCTCTAAAACATCGGATGGCTGTCCTTCAAACAGATTGAAACACTATTGCCATTTAATGATTTAAATTAAAAATGGTGAATTGAGGCTTAATCTTAAACAACAAGTACTGTGGCTAATATCATAAACAATATATATGCCACATAATGTATCTTTAATATAAATATTGTAGCAAGAACGTCCAGCTCTTTATCTAAATGTTATATACTTTTATCTTTAATATAAATATTATAGCAAGAACGTCCAGCTCTTTATCTAAATCTTACATAATGTATCTTTAATATAGCTGGTCCTAGTTTAGTAAATATCTTGTATTTTTTTAATATCTTGTATTTTTATGTTTTTATATAAAATGTATATTTGTAGTTATATTTATTATAATTTATCTATCGAATGGAATCCCAGAATATTTTATATCTATGACCGAGTCATCATATACTATCACTTTTCAACTACGTAAAAGAACCCTTGACAGTTGGAATTCGATATAAGAGTAGGCCGTAGTGCCGCTGTCTGGGCAAATTTCCCTCATAGCAATGGCATATGTCCCTCTTCCTTAGCCCAGTTCAGAGCAGAACAGTAGGACGTTAAACCCCATTTCATTTCCTTCCATATTATAAGGGTACATGCTGGAAAATCCTCATAAACAGATTCTAAATCACTGTTGGCGTTTGAAATACTAATTGTATCTATCAATTAATCGGTTAGCTTTTATGTTCCTTCCAAAGTAATCGTATTGTCTTGATTGGATGTTACATCTCAAGACTTTGACGAAATCTGCAGGTCCTTACCCTAACCCTAACCCACAATCCACATATAACATCATATGTGCAGGACTGTCTCCGATCTAGTGTTCTTCTTGCTCAGATGACACAGCTGATGTGGGCATGTTTTGTTGCCTAGCAACCTGTCTTTTTATAATAACATATCTCTTTGCATATTAAAATTATCACAATTATTCTCTGTTAAATTGTTATGTATCCTAGATAGTAATCACCTTGTGACATTTGTCTTTTTGCTTATATTTTTATCATCATTTTTCTAAAATCTCAATCTTTTTAAATATCGTTTTATTATATTTTAGATATCGAAATAAAAAAATGTAAAATCTATTTTTATAATATGTTATTTTTTATATATATATATATATATATATATATTCACTACAATTGAAAATTTTTATAGTACAGAGCAGAGACACAACAGTTAAAGAAACATTATGGGAGATTAGATAAAGAGCTGGCAGTTCTCTTTATAATAGTTAAAAACTATAAAACACAAGAGAATCTAACAGGAATATGCTGAAAATTTCAGTCAAATTGACGCAATCTGCACTCTGAACTGAGAATTTAGCGATTGAATTTTCGGCCTAACCTCAGTCATCATTATTAAAGTCGGTACTTTAAAAAAAATATAGTCTCAATTATCCATTTTATGAAGTCCTATGAAAGTTGAGCAGCAAATCTGATCCTAATCAAGTAAATATAGAAGGCTAGCGCTGACATCGAGAGTTGATTATGGCCTGTATAAGTTAATTAATGTCTAATTAATAATTTAGATAACATTTCAGGCCTAAAGAAAGACCTGCAATAGGCAGATTTAGCTCTTGCATAATGTATGTTTAAGTAAATACATGTAGTACGTGTTAGAAAAACTACTAGTGCGTTCCTGTAGTGGATGGTAATTAATACCAACGGAGTTATCTTCCCTATGAAATAAATAACCCATGTAAACAATGACACCATGACAACACGATGCGGTGCATGCGCAAATTACCACGGAAGAGCTTATAATCATGTGTTTATAAAAACATAACAGTAAATTTACCGCTCGTCATTCTAGTTAGTTCCCCCTCTCAGTTTTTGTCGGATTTCTAAATAAATCATGCCACATTTAAAAGACGCCAAAACCAAGCAGCCACCATGGAAAGAAGCGGATTATTTAGCGAAGAAACGAGGTGTTCGACATACTGTGTATTCTGTGAATGGAGACGAATATACAGGAGAATGGCAAGAAAATAGACGAGAGGGTAAGGATTTAATTTTTTTGTTTGTTTGTGTGTGGATAATTCTGTAGATCAAACTGGCATTTATTATTAGGAATATGATCTTTCTAAAATGAGTTGGATGAGTTGCCCACCTCTTTTGACAATTAATTGTGACAACCATAATTGAAATCTCACCAAAGCGCACCAGCGATATGGAAATAATGGTTGCCAGTTAACTCATCCACAAGCAAACTCGTTCACAGTTAAGTCGTCTACTGGTATTGGTTATGTCGACCACAACTATTGTTGGGTCGTACCATTGACCTTATAATACATGTATTATTATTATAAGGTCTATGCCGTCATGGTCGTACAACCCATGTTAATTGTTGTATGGAATAAATCAGCTTTACTCATCAGTTGTTTTTATTTTATCAAATAGTATTCGAGCTTGACTGACCGATCACGAATTGATGTTTTAATAAAGTAGCATATATTTGGTGTTGATTACCTTTCTGCTGTTCGTAAAAGAATGCTTATAGCAAAGGCTATTTCCAAAGAATTAACAAATGTCCGTTTCCAGGGCCCGTGAGAGGGGGCGGGGAGGCAGCTGGACATCAGCCTCGATGTTGGCTTGCTATTTATATATTTAAGTTCATCAGGAATTTCCACTATGGTTTCCCCGTGTCATTGGTGCAGGACGGAGGGCCTGACAAGGACAGCTGTCTAGTCTTTCGTACGGGATAAAAAAACTAAGGTCTGGGTACACATTGGCGTGAAGGCTACGTAAAAGACCCCTTGGCAGTTGGAATTCGATATATAAGTAGGCCATAGTGCCGTCCTCCAGACAAAAATTCCCTCATAGCACACTGTATGGCATATGCCTGTTTTCATTAGCCCAGTCGAAGCAAACCAGTAGGGCGTTAAATCCTATTTTATTTCATTTATTTATATATTTTATCACCATAATCTGTATTAATAGGAAAGGGAACTTATAAATGGAAAACAAATGGTGCTATATATGATGGAGACTGGAAGAAAGGGAAACGGGGTGGATTTGGTACATACAGTCTTCCAGATGGAAAAGGAAGTTTTAAGAAGGAATATTCTGGTGGATGGAAGAATGATATGCGACATGTAAGAGTTTAATGTCTGCTTCCACAGAAATATTTTTTTATTTGAGTATATTAAGTACATGCACAGATGTCTTTACTGTGAGAGGAAGTTGCCCGTACACCAGGTATCGAAACCACACCTGAGCTAGAACTTGAAACATGACACCATATATATAGAGACCACCGAAGAAGGCTGATCACAGTTTGCATTTTTCAGACAATATCTCATTTTTAACACCCTTAACCCACACAACATAATAATATGCTCAAATTGTTTTATTTAACATTTAATAAAGAAAACATTACCAAAATATTAAAGGGATGGGGGTGGTCTTGGGGTTTAAGCTCAAGCAAATTATTGGACTAAAACTATACGGTAGGTATGTTAATATCGGAATAACTTAAATTTGTTAAACCTCCTTTGTCTGTCAAGTGGGTTTTCTATGTGTCCTCCATATTCCTACCACTATTACAGAAAGAACCTAGCTTGTTAAACCCTCTCTCTATCTGTCTCTGTCTCTCTCTTTCTCACCCCTCTTTTTTCTCCATGAATAATAAAAGTATTGGTATATATTACAGGGTTACGGAACACGGTTTTATTCACCCGATGATTATTACGAAGGTGAATGGTACGCTGATAAACGATGTGGTTGGGGTAGGATGTATTACGCTGATGGTACCATATACGAGGGAGAATGGTTCGATGATGAGAGAAACGGAGAGGGCATGATTAGATACAGTAAGTCACATGATTAGATACAGTACGTCACATGATTAGATACAGTAAGTCACATGATTAGATACAGTAAGTCACATGATTAGATACAGTACGTCACATGATTAGATACAGTAAGTCGCATGATTAGATCCAGTAGGTCACATGATTAGATACAGTACGTCACATGATTAGATACAGTAAGTCACATGGTTATATACAGTAAGTCAAATGATTACATACAGTAAATCTCATGATTTAATTTACAAGGGAGTCGGGATCTCGGGATCCATTCGAACAAATAAACACTTTTCCTTGTCAGGCCGCTTGGACAGCCAGCTGTATTTAAATCAGGCCCCCTGAACAGCCAGCTGTTTTTCCATCAGGCCCCCTGAACAGCCAGCTGTATTTCCATCAGGCTCCCTGGACAGTCAGCTGTAATTCCACCAGACCCCTAGACAGCCAGCTGTGTTTCCATCAGTCCACCTTCTTTCATTCACATTCCAATGGCTCTTTTACATGTAAAGTAGTACCCTATTTACTTTGGTTATTCATCCTTCTGCACATCTAAACACTTTTGTCAGCCCAGCAAGTTTTACTACTTAAAGTATAAACTTCACTTGAAAAAACCTCATGAATCAACCTGGTCCAAGTAAAGACATACAGAGGTGTGAAACTGCATTAGTTTAAACGTGATACGTAGACGTAAAATATGTTTCATCTATTTTTTATTTTAGCCAATGAAAATCGATATGAAGGATCATGGAAGAATGACAAGAAAAATGGACCAGGAAAATATTTCTTTTTAACAACCGGTCAGCTCCATGAGGGTGTATGGGTTGATGATATACCAAAATGTGGTACAATGAAAGATTTTAATAGAGAGAGTGCTCCAGAACCTACACAATATCCTATCCCAGAGGTAAACTATTATAATATCCTATCCCAGAGGTAAACTATTATAATATCCTATCCCAGAGGTAAACTTATAATATCCTATCCCAGAGGTAAACTATTATAATATCCTATCCCAGAGGTAAACTTATAATATCCTATCCCAGAGGTAAACTTATAATATCCTATCCCAGAGGTAAACTTATAATATCCTATCCCAGAGGTAAACTTATAATATCCTATCCCAGAGGTAAACTATTATAATATCCTATCCCAGAGGCAAACTTATAATATCCTATCCCAGAGGTAAACTTATAATATCCTATCCCAGAGGTAAACTTATAATATCCTATCCCAGAGGTAAACTTATAATATCCTATCCCAGAGGTAAACTTATAATATCCTATCCCAGAGGTAAACTTATAATATTTTATACCAGAGGTAAACTATTATAATATTTTGTACCAGAGGAAAACTATTATAATATTTTATACCAGAGGTAAACTTATAATATTTTATCCCAGAAGTAAACTTATAATATTTTATCCCAGAGGTAAACTTATAATATTTTATACCAGAGGTAAACTTATAATATTTTATACGAGAGGTAAACTATTATAATATCCTATACTACAGGTAAACTATTATAATATTTTATACCAGAGGTAAACTTATAATATTTTATACCAGAGGTAAACTTATAATATTTTATACCAGAGGTAAACTATTATAATATTTTATACCAGAGGTAAACTTATAATATTTTATACTACAGGTAAACTATTATAATATCCTATCCCAGAGGTAAACTTATAATATTTTATACCAGAGGTAAACTATTATAATATTTTATACCAGAGGTAAACTATTATAATATTTTATACCAGAGGTAAACTTATAATATTTTATACCAGAGGTAAACTTATAATATTTTATCCCAGAGGTAAACTTATAATATTTTATACCAGAGGTAAACTATTATAATATTTTGTACCAGAGGTAAACTATTATAATATTTTATACCAGAAGTAAACTATTATAATATTTTGTACCAGAGGTAAACTATTATAATATTTTATACCAGAAGTAAACTATTATAATATTTTGTACCAGAGGTAAACTATTATAATATTTTATACCAGAAGTAAATTAATATAATATCCTATACTACAGGTAAATTAATATAATATCCTATACTACAGGTAAACTATTATAATATCCTATACTACAGGTAAACTATTATAATATCCTATACTACAGGTAAATTAATATAATATCCTATACTACAGGTAAACTATTATAATATCCTATACTACAGGTAAACTATTATAATATCCTATACTACAGGTAAACTAGTATAATATCCTATACCACAGGACTAGCATGATGGAAACTAACTTTTCGATTTTGTGACTACTATAAACTTGATCATTTGTGCTTCTCCAACACACACACACACACAGGGAGTAGGTCATTTCAGGACTAACATATGGTTCAATTTTATTTTCAATAACTCGCTTGTGCGTAGGGGTTGTTAGCAGTGGGAGGAAACCGGGGGACCCGGTTTAAAAACCCACATGGTTGGACAGATGACCCTAGTCCTTGTCACGTACAACCGGGGAATCAAAACCACGCCAGTTAACTCAGTGACAGACCTTATGATTCAACACGCTAACCATTCGGCCATCCAACCTCCCGGGTCGCATAAGAAGCAAGACTAGCCCAGCTTCGCACGATTTCTCTCGGAACACACCGCATGCCTGTTTCGTTAGCCCAGTGGGTGCAGACATATAGGAAGTTAAACTGCATTTTATCTCCTCCTACAACTAAGAGTAAGGGTATTTATTTGTTTTATTTTGTATTATTTATAGAACAAGCTAGCCGACCTGGAGGGAGTTTTAACAGAAGCAGAAGATAGATTTTTACCTGAACAAGATTGAAACCAGTGATAGATATAGTAAGATAACCACACTCGTGACACGAATATTAAAATATTCCTGTGAACGGGAAATGAAAAGAATTGGACTACATGTAATTGCAAACTTTCAGTGTTTTGTGAAATATTGGGGAAATCGTATTAGGGCCCTCTCATCATATTTGGTCATAATCTTGTGATGGGGAAATGAAAAGAATTGGACTACATATAATTGGAAACTTTCAGTGTTTTTTGAAATATTGAGGAAAACATAACTTTTCGTATGATACAATATATTAGAGCCCTATCGTCATATTTGGTCATCAGTTTGAGTGTCTGAAGAATACACCCACATGTCAGTTTATTGAGGCCCCATAAACTTGGAATTTCAAAGAGTTTAGCAATAGATAAATTTAAATTTATAAATTTTAGGAATAACGCACTGAATAAAATATCTAAAAAATTTGGATACTGCTAAAAATTATTAAATTCTTTGGAGATAAATATCTTGTTATTTCGAAGGTAAACAAACTAATATGTCATAACCAGAACCACTGGTCAAATTCCAAAAACAGAACCACTAGCCAAATTCCAAAACCCAAACCACTGGTCAAATTCCAAAACCTGAACCACTGGTCAAATTCCAAAACCCAAACCACTGGTCAAATTCCGAAAGGAAAGCCTAACTATTATAATATTTCATCCTACAGGTAAAGTATTATAATATTTTAGCATTCATCATTTGATATAACAGCATTATGTTAATTATAAATCATGAAAGAAATCTTTATATAGGCCTATATATATTTTCTGAATTTTATGGCAGCATTAGAAGACATGAAGGATAAGTTTATATAACTATATTTCTTCTGAATTTTATCTCGGCATTGTGTTGCTATAACTAGTTTATCTCAGCATTATGTTGCTATAACTATTTTATCTCAGCATTATGTTGCTATAACTAGTTTAACTCAGCATTATGTTGCTATAACTAGTTTAACTCAGCATTATGTTGCTATAACTATTTTAACTCAGCTTTATGTTGCTATAACTATTTTAACTCCGCATTATGTTGCTATAACTAGTTTAACTCAGCATTATGTTGCTATAACTAGTTTAACTAAGCATTATGTTGCTATAACTAGTTTAAATCAGCATTATGTTGCTATAACTAGTTTAACTCAGCATTATGTTGCTATAACTAGTTTAACTCAGCATTATGTTGCTATAACTAGTTTAAATCAGCATTATGTTGCTATAACTATTTTAACTCAGCATTATGTTGATATAACTAGTTTAACTCAGCATTAGGTTTTTATAACTTGTTTAACTCAGCATTTTTTAAATTCAAAATGTCAAAATATTTATTGTTGTTTTAATAAATGTTTTATTTGTCAAATGAAATCCTGTCAAAATGATTTGTACTGTTTGCAGTTATATTTTATATTCGTCAAATTATATTTTAATAATTGAGGCCTTATTTAAGAAAATGTCAACTAAAATGTTTTTTTTTAAGAATTCCACCTTTTTATTGGATATAAAAAGTTGAAATTTGTACAAGTTTTTTTTTTTTCACCCCAATCTGATTAAAACACAGATCTATATTTCGTTTATTTTTTTTTAAACTTTCGATGGCCTCGAAAGACAAGTAAAACAAAATTTTGAACTATAAAAAACGAAAGGAAATAGGATCTGTGTTTTAGTCAGATTGGGGTTAACTCCAGCCAATGAAAAAGGAAGCAGCTTTTAAATATACTATTCAAAAAAAGTAGGGGATATTTGATTTTGGGGGCATAATACTAAAATATGCAAATGACTACGAAAAAAGTCACTATAGAACCTAACAGAAGAAACATTTCCAGTTACATGTGACGCCCAAACGCACCAATAGCTACCGCATGGAATGCAGGTGATGCTTGGGATCATCATGGGGGTCCAACCCAAGATTTGCACGACTCTGACTTTGAATGTTACAGTCATTGTGGCATTGAATTCCAGGGTGGAAACATCAGTTTAATTGTTTTAGTGACCAGAAAACAAATTTTGATATGCGTCGGCTTACCCAAAATGAAAGGTTACGTGCCCTTGGCATGCTACAGATCGGCACAACACAGGCGGTTGTGGCGCGGACGATGAATGTTTCTCAGTCTGTCATAAGCAGGCTATGGTCCAGATACCGTGATACACAATCTGTACACGACAGACCACGCCCAGGTCGACCAAGGGCGACAACTCAAGCCCAGGATCGATTTATCCGTACCTTGGCCTTGAGAAATCGTGTCATCACAGCAAATCAGATCAGCGCTCGTCTTCAAACAGACACTGGTTTGAGAGTGAGTGGCCAGACGATTCGGAATCGACTGCATAGGGGTCACCTTCGCGCCCGACGTCCTCGCGTGATCCCTTGTTTGAGAGATCATCACATTCAGGCAAGACGTCGTTGGTGTAGGGATCGTCAACACTGGGATAATCGACGCTGGAGCAATGTGATGTTTTCAGATGAGTCAAGGTTCACTGTTGATTTATTGGACAGACGTAGGAGGGTGTGGCGTCGTCGAAACGAGCGCTTCCAAGACGTTAACGTCATCAGACATGATCGATTTGGGGGTGGTTCTGTTATGGTGTGGGGAGGCATCACTGTTGCTGGAAGAACGGCTTTACATGTTGTTGCAGGGCGTGTTAAAGGCCAGTACTACCGGGACAACATCTTGGCAGTCCATGTTGTGCCGTTCGCACGACGTCATGGCCGCCGTTTCATCTTCCAGGATGACAACGCAAGATGTCACAGGGCCAGGATCGTTACAGGTTACCTCCAACAACAGAACATCACCACATTACCTTGGCCAGCACTGAGTCCCGACCTCTCCCCCATCGATCATGTCTGGGACATGCTTGGACAGAGGTTACGTCAACGTCAACAACGTCCTGCCAATGTCCAAGAACTTGCTGCTGCGTTGCAACAGGAATGGGACAATCTGGACCAAAATGACCTTAGACGTCTCATTAGGAGTATGCCACGTCGGATCAATGCTTGTTTGGCAAACAGAGGAGGATTTACCCGTTACTGACTTGGTTGTGATGCTGTGGTAACTGTGCTGTTTGACCCCGGGTATCATTTTACCCTTATAATGGTCAGTCTGTGCCTTACTTAGTCTAACGATCATTTGGAATAAATCGATGAATGTGAACTTCATTTCATTTTGTCATTTGTTTCTTCGTCAGTTTCATTAGGTGACTTTAATAACACTTAAAAATCAAATATCCCCTACTTTTTTTGAATAGTATATTTTAGTGTAAATGTTTGAGAATAAGGCCCATGTTTTTGTCTGCCTTATTTATAAAATATATAAACTTTTGTAGTTAGAACCAGCTTAGAAATAAAGCACCCGTTACGGACATCATCAGGTAGTAGTTGAGTCGAAATAAAATGAAATGAAATTGGGGTTTAACGTCCTACTGTTCTGCTCCTGAACTGGGCTAATGAAAACGGCATACGCCATACAGTGTGCTATGACAGAAATTTTGCCTGGACAGCGGCACTACGGCCTACTCTTATATCGAATTCCAACTGTCAAGGAACCTTTTACTTGCACGCCAATATGTACACGGGACCTTGCTTTTTCGTCCCATCCAAATGACTAGAGATCTGTCATTGTAAGTCGAGTCTGACATTGTGTCATGTAAAATTATTATTTCAAGGTCTCTAATTGTATAAACATATTTTAAATGTGGACCAAAAGCCCTTAATATATAAACTTGTTGCCCAGGTAACCACTAATTGTATAAACATGTTCTAAATGTCGACCAAAGCCCTTAATGTATAAACTTGTTGTCCAGGTAACCCCTAATGTATAATCATGTTTTATGGGTTTGACCTATGCCCTTTTTAAAACAATATTTGCTGAAATTTAAATCTTATTTAAAATTAAAAGCATATATACAACAATAAATAAATTCTACCATTATAGTTTTTGCTAAAATATCTTGTGATATACAGTATGTGTGATAAGACTAGACAGTTAGTTTTCCCTTGGCCTATTATTAATCGTTTGTTTTAGTCAAATACTGACTTTGGTAATGAAGAAAGAAATTCTAATTCATTTTATAAAATATTTTTTGATATGCGATTTATATTCACATTGTCAAGTGTTAATTGTTATAAATTATTGTCAAATTATTGTTATAAAATATATTGTCAAATTCTTGTTATAAAATGGTATCGAGACTGCCTGGTTAGTCAGTCAATGGTATCGGGACCACCTGTTCAGTGATCCAATGGTATCGGGACCACCTGTTCAGTGATCCAATGGTATCGGGACCACCTGTTCAGTGATCCAATGGTATCGGGACCACCTGTTCAGTGATCCAATGGTATTGGGACCACCTGTTCAGTGATCCAATGGTATCAGGACCACCTGTTCAGTGATCCAATGGTATTGGGACCACCTGTTCAGTGATCCAATGGTATCGGGACCACCTGTTCAGTGAGCCACCATATAACACAGCAGTGAGGTCTTAATTTAATACTTGTGTTTCATGTTATTTTCTATGCTATGTATTTATTTACGTAGGCCGTTGGTTATATTGTATTATCTGGAAATATATATTGTTTTATTTTAATCACAATTTTATATTTTTTGTTGAAATATATGGGGTATTATTATTTACAGTACCGCCAGTGGTACATGATGATTGACCATTCTAGTCCCCAGTCGTGTTGTCTGTCACTACACCACCCAGATATTCCACTCTAGTCCCCCAGTTGTGTTGTCTTCGCTACCCAACTCTAGTCCCCCAGTCGTGTTGTATGTCGCTACACCACACTAGTCCCCCAGTCGTGTTGTCTTTGCTACCCAACTCTAGTCCCCCAGTCGTGTTGTATGTCGCTACACCACACTAGTCCCCCAGTCATGTTGTCTTCGCTACCCAACTCTAGTCCCCCAGTCGTGTTGTATGTCACTACCCCACTCTAGTCCCCCAGTCGTGTTGTCTGTCACTACCCCACTCTAGTCCCACAATCGTGTTGTCTGTTGCTACCCCACTCTAGTCCCCCAGTCGTGTTGTCTGTTGCTACACCACTCTAGTTCCCCAGTCGTGTTGTCCGTCACTACCCCACTCTAGTCCCACAGTCGTGTTGTCTGTTGCTACACCACTCTAGTTCCCCAGTCGTGTTGTTTATTGCTACACCACTCTAGTCCCACGGCAGTGTTTTCATCTGTCACTACACCACTCTAGTCCCACGGCCGTGTTGTCTGTTGCTACACCACTCTAGTCCCATGGCAGTGTTTTCATCTGTCACTACACCACTCTAGTCCCACAGCCATGTTCTTATCTGTCAATACGCCACTCTAGTCCCATGGTGGTGTTCCGGCGCTACGCCACTGTAGAGCCACAGTCATGAGAGAGAGAGAAATAAAATGGGGTTTAACGTCGTACTGTTCTGCTCCTAAACTGGGCTTATGAAGACGGGCATAGTGTGCTATGAGGAAAATTTTGCCCGGGCAGCGGCGTTACGGCCTACTCTTATATCGAATTCCAACTGCCAAGGGATCTTTTACGTGCACGCCAATGTGTACACGGGACCTCGTTTTTTTGTCCCATGAGAACGACTAGACAGGCCCTCCGTCCTGCATCACTGACAAGGAGAAACCACGGCAGAAAATCTGGATGAACTTTCTCGGCCAATGCAGGGATCGAACACCCGACCTTCAGGCTGAAATGGAGTTAAACATCCACTTGACACAAACTAGGTTATTTCAGGACTAACATGGTTCAATTTATATTTCAATAATTTGCTTGCGCGTAGGGGTCTTTAGAAGTGGGAGGAAACTGGAGGACCTCAAGAAAACCCACAAGGTTGGAAGGCGACCCTATCCTTGTCACATATAAGGGAGAAATCGAAACGCCGCTGCTTGACTCAATGACAGACCTTATGATCCAACGCGCACATGTTAAAGTAGCAAAGTCTCTAACTCAATATCATCAAAAATCTTCGACATTGAAAACACGAATTATTTGTCAACATAAATCAACATTGGTCTTGTGATCTTAAAGGGAAAAGATGGCCTTCTGATATCCAATATTTAACACAAAATAAACATTTTACCATTTGTACACGAATTGTGTAACATAATGCATTTCAGCACCATTTGTAACACCGGACTTGAAGTACAAGGCTAGACATATTCCACAATTCATGTCAAATCGAGATGCTATATTCTTATCTGGAGAGCATGCACAATAAATACTATCGGTATAGACTTGAATAACCAGACGCTAAAGATTGTCATTCAATTGAGATTTCTGGCGTATTTCGCCGAACATAACCGATTAGAAATTACAGTAAAAACAGAAACGATTGAATGTAAATCAGTTTATATACATTCGTTTTACATTATTATATGCGTTGTATCAATTTCCAGGTCCCAAATATTAGCGATTTAGCCCCGTTAACCATTCAGCCACCCCCACCACTTGTCTTTAGATACACATAACGAAAACAACAACAATATCGAATTCTAATTTGTTTTATTATCTTTTATCCATTAATTCCTAGATTCCATAAAATATGGCAAAAATATTAGCACAGCTTCTTTCACACATTGATTTGTTTTTGAGGTTCTCAGGACAAGGACAACATTCTGATTGACCAAAAAATAGGTGAAGGTTAGTGATCCGTACAAAATGAAATGGGGTTTAACGTTCTACTTTTCTGCACCAATTGAGAGAGAGATGGGGTTTAACGTCCACTCGACACAAACTAGGTCATTTCGGGACTAACACATTGTTCAATTTTATTTCAATAATTCGCTTGCCCGTAGGGGTCTTTAGCGGTGGGAGGAAACCGGAGGATCCAGAGAAAACCCACGAGGTTGGACAGGAGACCCTACTCCTTGTCACGTACAACCGGGGATTCGAAACCACGCCAGTTGACTCAATGAAAGGCTTTATGATAAAGCGCGCACGTGTTAACCATTCAGCCATCCAACCCCCCCTGTACCAATTGAGCTAATGAACAAAGACAGGTTTACGCCACGC